CCATTCGAAATGCCCATACCGTGTCTTGAACGCGGTCTTGTAGCGATCCTCCTTGCGAATCTCGAGTTGGTGGTACCCTGACTCGAGATCCAGCTTAGAGAAGAACTGGGCGCCGCCCAATCGCTCGAGAAGGCCGGCGTTCCTGATCGTCTGCGCGTTGAGCTTGCGATAATCGATGCACAATCGCAGGTCCTTGTTCTTCTTCCGGACGAAGAGAACAGGAGCACCGTATGGCGATGAGCTAGGCCGAATCCAGCCTTTCTCTAGAAGGTTGTGAGTTATGCCCGAAGCACGTCAATGGACACCGGAGTAGAGGTTGTCGACCTTCACGCTTACATTGCGAAGATCGACCGCGAGTTCAAGACGCAACGGTACGACGACATCGACGCACCATTGCTATATGTACGCATTCAGATCGGAGAGGTGACCTGCAACGCCTTGATCGATTCTGGAGCATCTCGCAACTACATCAGCCAGGACTTCATGGTGCGCGCCAGCCTTGGCCCACGTGTCCGGAGGAAGTCGCAGCCGACGCAAGTCACGTTGGCGGACGGTCACACGCACAAGTCCATCGCCTGGTGCATTGACAACGTCCCAGTGTACTTTGCCCCTCACGCAAGTGAGGCGGTGTCCTTTGACATTCTGGACACCAAATTCGACATGATCTTGGGCATGTCATGGCCGCGAAGCGAGGATCACCCGGTGAACTTCTTCCACCGCACCGTTCATATTCGTAATCGGAACGGAGTACTAGTTCCATGCACGGGGCCTCTTCCTCATCCTTCGATCAGCTGCCACATGGTATCCGCCGCAAGCATGCGAGCTTCCATCATCAGAGACGACATCGAGGAGATGGGGGTGTGTTTTCTCCACGCCCTCCCGCCCCATGACGCTTCATCGATGGACTCCCCTTCGGATCCACGCATCACCGAGCTTCTCGACGCCAACAGCGACGTGTTCGAAGGCCCGCACGGAGTAGTACCGGATCGACCCATCCGCCACGAGATCATCCTCGAGGACGGGGCCGTACCCCCGCGCGGTTGCATCTACCGAATGCAGTGTGCAAGTAATCCCGCAGTTGTGCCATAAGCACGTTGCAATGCAGTTTCGACAATCGTCCGGTCGAGAGAACGGGCATCCACTGGAAGTTCGTGAATGTCTATGGGTCGAGCTCTTCAAGTCTTGACCATGACGTTGAATCCCCGGCGATAGGTTGCGGCGAAGGTGCCGAATCGGTTGCCGATGGTGATGAAATCGTGCATGCGATGGATTGTTGCACGTGGAGCGGTTGGTCCAGCGGTGGAACCAAGTGGACAGCATAGTCCTCGTAAGTGTAACGAGAACTTGCGACATTCGCGTTCTCCCCAGATGTGCAGGAGGCCGCTAGCAAGGCGGCCGAATCTGGCGGAGTAGAAGGTGGAGTCGCCTCACCTTCCACGGAGCTCAGTTTCCCGAGCTGAGGCGGGGTCGCACATCCTCCTTGCCCTGATCCTG